GTTACATTTCACTAGTGCTATGTAGCGTATATGCAATGTAGTGTATGTAGTGTGTTACATGCAGTGTAGCGTATGTAGTGTGTTACATTTCACTAGTGCTATGGAGTGTATATGCAGTGTAGTGTATGTAGTGTTTTACATTTCACTAGTCCTATGTAGTGTTTATGCAGTGTAGTGTATGTAGTGTGCTACATTTCACTAGTGCTATGTAGTGTATATGCTGTGTAGTGTATGTAGTGTGTTACATTTCAGTAGTGCTATGTAGTGTATATGCAGTGTAGTGTATATAGTGTGTTACATTTCACTAGTGCTATGTAGCGTATATGCAATGTAGTGTATGTAGTGTGTTACATGCAGTGTAGTGTATGTAGTGTGTTACATGCAGTGTAGCGTATGTAGTGTGTTACATTTCACTAGTGCTATGTAGTGTTTATGCAGTGTAGTGTATGTAGTGTGCTACATTTCATTAGTCCTATGTAGTGTATATGCAGTGTAGTGTATGTAGTGTTTTACATTTCACTAGTGTTATGTAGTGTATATGCAGTGTAGTGTATGTAGTGTGCTACATTTCACTAGTGCTATGTAGTGTATCTGTTATGCTTGGTAGTGTATATGTAGTGTATAATTATGTAGTATATGTAGTGTAAATGTAGTGTAGTATATGTAGTGTATATGTAATGTAGGATATGTAGTGTAGTATATGTGGTGTAAATATAGTTATACTTGGTAGTGTAGTATATGTAGTGTAGTATATGTAGTGTATATGTAGTGTAGTATATGTAGTGTATATGTAGTGTATTTAATGCAGTGTATATGTAGTGTATTACATTGCACTGGTCCTATGAAGTGTGAATGTAATTGTATTTTGGAGTGTATATTTAATATATTTTTATGAAGTGTATATGTTATGTTGTGTATGTAGTATATATGTAGTATATTTTATGAGGTGTATGTGTAATGTATTTTATGTAGTGTATATGTAATGCATTGTGTGAAGTGTATGTGTAATATATTGTATGTAGTATATATGTAATGTATTGTATGTAGTATATATGTAATGTATTTTATAAAGTGTATATGAAACATATTTTATGTAATGTATATGTAATGTATTGTATGTAGAATATATGTAATGTATTTCATGAAGTATATATGTAACATATTTTATGTAATGTATATGTAATGTATTGTATGTAGTATATATGTAATGTATTTTATGTAATGTATATGTAATGTATTGTATGTAGTATATATGTAATGTATTTTATGTAGTGTATTGCATCCTGTTGGTCCTCTTTACCATGTATCGGTCCATGTCCTGTCTGATTTCGGTTGTAGAGGAGATGTATTTTGACATGAGCAGTCAGTATAATGAAAGGTGGTAAAATCAATAGAAATTTACATGTTCCTCATGGTTACTGGCACAGTCAACAGTTGCAGCAGGATTTCAAAGTGGTTCTGGGGAAACCACTGACAAAGTATGAAACTGAGTAAATCTTCATGAATCACAGAAACAAATCTTTAAGAAAGATGAAAATTGTACTTTTAAGTTGACCAATTTATGAAGGAAAACCTCCCTCACAAACATATATTTGGCAGGAACTCAAGATAAATCTGTATGAAACACTGTATCTGTGTGTGTACTGCTCTATAGAGTTCCACATCCTAAAGCCTAAAGCACTCATCTTCTCATAAACATAGGATGGTGGTGCTTCCACGGGGTAATAAACCAGGATAACATGGAGATTTCCTGAGGTATCCAGGGAAACGCTTCTTCAGAGTTTCACTTTGTAGGAAAACAGACTTTAACAGTTTAATAAACAGGTGATAGTAGTATTTACATCAGTCGGCAGGAGACTGTCAGGCGTTATTTATCATCTCTTTGTTGGTTTCTTTACAGAGGTTGTGTAAAATTTGCCGTTTTTACCTGTACAAAGTAAATGTATGATCTTATTGTTTTTACCTGTACAAAGTAAAGGTGTGATCTGATTGTTTTTACCTGTACAAAGTAAATGCATGATCTTATTGTTTTTACCTGTACAAAGTAAAGGTGTGATCTGATTGTTTTTACCTGTACAAAGTAAATGTATAATCTTATTGTTTTACCTGTACAAAGTAAAGGTGCAATCTGATTGTTTTTACCTGTACAAAGTAAAGTATGATCAGATTGTTCTTACCTGTACAAAGTAAAGGTATGATCAGATTGTTCTTACCTGTACAAAGTAAATGTATGATCTTATTGTTTTTACCTGTACAATTAAAGATATGATCAGATTGTTTTTACCTTTACAATGTAAAGTATGATCAGATTGTTCTTACCTGTACAAAGTAAAGGTATGATCAGATTGTTTTAACCTGTACAAAGTAAAGGTATGATCAGATTGTTCTTACATGTACCTGTACAAAGTAAAGATATGATCTTATTGTTTTTATTTTTCACTTAATTAAAAAACACATGTCTTCTATCAATCTCCAACTTTCAGAAAAGGTCTACATGGCCTGTATCTTACTGTAAAAGGTCTACATGGCCTGTATCTTACTGTAAATGGTTTACATGGCCTGTGTCTTACTGTAAAAGGTCTACATGGCCTGTGTCTTACTGTAAAAGGTCTACATGGCCTGTGTCTTAATGTAAAAGGTCTAAATAGCATGTGCCTTACTGTAAAAGGTCTACATGGCCTGTGTCTTACTGTAAAAGGTCTACATGGCCTGTGTCTTACTGTAAAAGGTCTACATGGCCTGTGTCTTACTCTGAAATTGCCACATGGCCTGTATCTTACAAAAGAAAGATCCCATGATTTTTGCACCCTCCATCAAAGTATTTCCATGGGTTCTACAAAAAAGTGATATTTTCAAACAAACATGTACAACTGCAGACCTAAGGAAACCTTCATATTGAAAGAATCCATCTAGTCATTCTGAAGAAATTACAGCTTTAACAAGAAATATTTAAGGATGGTCGGACAGACCACAGAAAAAGGGCAATTTGTACAGCCATACATCTGATTATAGTGAACTGAAAAGGTCACCATGGCCTGTAACTTACAGAAACAAGAGTACCGCAGGGCGGAACAAAATACGCCCGTCGAATGCCATATTGTGGTATATCTTTCTTACATTCAAATAAGATCTGCATCAATCTAAGAGTGGTTAGCTGATATGCTATAAAAAATGTAGGAGAAAATCTTCAGACAAAAAATCAAATACTGAAATGAACAAAAGGCAATAAATTTTGCAATAATAGTTGAATCAAAATTCTTTTAAGGGAGACACAACTTCATATCATGATTATAAAGTATACCAAGTTTCAAAGAGATCCGTTGAAAAATGTAGGAGGAGATTTCCGGACAAAAAATCAAATACTGAAATGAACAAAGGGCAATAACTTTTGGAAAAATTGTGGAATCAAAATTCTTTTAAGGGAGACACAATTTCATATCATGATTATCATGTTTACCAAGTGTCAAAGAGATCGGTCAAAAAAATGTAGGGGGAGATCTCAGGACAAAAATCAAAAACTGAAATGAACAAAGGGCAATAACTTTTGGAAAAATTGTTGAATCAAAATTCTTTCAAGGGAGACACAACTTCATATCATGATTATAATGTATACCAAGTTTCAAATAGATCAGTCGAAAAATGTAGGAGGAGATTGCCGGACAAAGAAAGTTAACGCCGGACGGATGGACAACCCCATACCATAATACTACCGTCAAATTTGACGTTTGTATAAAAAGTACACATGACCTGTCTTTCACATGAAAAGTTCCACATGGCCTGCAGTTTACAGAAAAGTTTCAAATGGTCTGTATCTTACAGAAAAGGACTGCAGGGCCTGTAACTGTAGCTGTAAGAAAAGGTCCATGTGGCATTATACTTTCTAACTTAAAATGCAAAAATGTCACCATGGCTAAATCTAAAACAAAACACTCACAGGGCTTCAAACTTTTTTTTAATACAGACAATACTTTTGACATAATATAGACATGTACATATACAGGTAGCTCTGAGGATGTGAGGATGTGTGATTTTGTGTCAGTGATGTTGTGTTGTAGGTAGTGTTGTGAGGATGTGTGCTGGTATGTCAGTGGTGTTGTGTTGTAAGTGGTGTTGTGAGGATGTGTGATGGTGTGTCAGTGGTGTTGTGTTGTAGGGGGTGTTGTGAGAATGCGTGATGGTGTGTCAGTGGTGTTATGTAGTAAGTGGTGTTGTGAGGATGTGTGATGGTGTGTCTGTGGTGTTGTGTTGTAGGTGGTGATGTGAGGATGTGTGATGGTGTGTCAGTGGTGTTGTGTTGTAGGTAGTGTTGTGAGGATGTGTGCTGGTATGTCAGTGATGTTGTGTTGTAAGTGGTGTTGTGAGGATGTGTGCTTGTGTGTCAGTGGTGTTGTGTTGTAAGTGGTGTTGTGAGGATGTGTGATGGTGTGTCTGTGGTGTTGTGTTGTAGGTGGTGATGTGAGGATGTGTGTTGGAGTGTCAGTGGTGTTGTGTTGTAGGTGGTGTTGTGAGGATGTGTGATTTTGTGTCAGTGATGTTGTGTTGTAGGTGGTGTTGTGAGGATATGTGTTGGTATGTCAGTGGTGTTATGTAGTAAGTGGTGTTGTGAGGATGTGTGATTTTGTGTCAGTGGTATTGTGTTGTAGGTGGTGTTGTGAGGATGTGTGATGGTGTGTCAGTGATGTTGTGTTGTAGGTGGTGTTGTGTCAATGGTGTTGTGAGGATGTGTGATGGTGTGTCAGTGGTGTTGTGTTGTAGGTGGTGTTGTGAGAATGCGTGATGGTGTGTCAGTGGTGTTATGTTGTAGGTGGTGTTGTGAGGATATGTGTTGGTATGTCAGTGATGTTGTGTTGTAGGTGGTGATGTGAGGATGTGTGTTGGTATGTCAGTGGTGTTGTGTTGTAGGTGGTGTTGTGAGAATGCGTGATGGTGTGTCAGTGATGTTGTGTTGTAGGTGGTGATGTGAGGATGTGTGTTGGTATGTCAGTGGTGTTGTGTTGTAGGTGGTGTTGTGAGAATGTGTGATGGTGTGTCAGTGATGTTGTGTTGTAGGTGGTGATGTGAGGATATGTGTTGGTATGTCAGTGGTGTTGTGTTAATAGTGATGTTTTGTTAGAGTTGTGTTCATGTTTGATGGTGTTGTGATGATTGTGTTGATGGTGATATATTGATGTTGTTCGATGGTGGTGTGAAGATGGTGTTGTGTTGATATTAATGTTATATTAAAGTTGATAGTGTGTGTGTGTATGTTGATTATGTTGTATGTATCGTCCTTATAGTCTGGGAGTGCCTCCAACGGCTTCCATACCATGTATTAAATATTATATGATTGGACTAAAGCTAGACACTCTTAACCACAGCTACAGTACAAACGTACACTAACAGATCTCTGTAACCTCACACAGCATTCTTCATTACACACACCTGACATCACACATCACAATAGCTCAGACAACAAACCTGGAATGGCTATTTTATATACAACAAAGCTGAGCTATGTGTCCATGGTCATATGTATCACAATATTTGATTGGTCAATATTACAGTGTTTCTTGAAGTCTGAATTTAGAAACAGACCTATTTATGTGTTACACACAAGGATTCATTCACAGCTCTTTGTAACAAAGTTTCTGATTGGTGCAGTGGGTCCACAGCTCTTTGTAACAAAGTATCTGATTTGTATAATCTGAAGCTTGTCCTAATTTGTGTGCCCTAACAACGATTTGTCTTACTTCAGTTTGCAGTATGTCAGTTTAGCACCAACACAATTCATGTTGTTCTGCTGAATACCACTCCACTCACCAGAATTAATTGACAGAAAGTTACAAGGTCACCATCATGACTAGATGACATTAATCAGGGCATAACCTGCAATCATAAACACACATAAATCCAACAGGTTTGATTCACTTGGTCTTCACTTGCGGCTATTGACTGTAATAAAGTTGATACTGATACTTTGTGCAATGGAACATTCAGGACAACGACAGTCTGTGTGTCCACAAAGCTGGCGTAAGCCCTTCCTGAACTCCTGGCTCATGCCTAGGTACACGAAGAACTTGTAACAGGAGTTACCAATGGCTATCCATAATAGATAGAAGTGAACATGATGGGGGTACGACGTGTATTGGTCAATGAATGCCCCATACAACTGTAGCATCAGCCATGGCAACCACGCAATACAAAAAATGATTGTCACCACAAAGTTCATAAAGTAATTCCCCGGCCGTGAGGCTGTTTCAGGTAAAATAGTCTCAAACATGTAGCGCTTTTTTTGGAAAGGACGTGTGAAGATGTATGCATTGGTGACAATGAGTGCCACCACTGCCGGAAACATCACCAAAACACCTGCAGTCACAAAGTACGGCTTGTGTGGCCCCGCCTCTATGGAACAGATAAACACTTCCTGGTAAAAGTTGGCCCTCTCAAACGAAAACAAAGGCGGGCAACAGAAACTGATGGCACCCAGCCATGCAAAGAAAATCCAACACATAGACCTCGTCGGTGTCATTGCAATTTTGTGTCTCTGTGGCTTTCTGACCGCTAGGTAGTGGTCAACACTCATCCATGACATGGAATATAGACCCGCGATAAAGAACACGGCTAACAAATATGCCTCGAAGTGGCAGAACTTCTCATCATTATAAATCCAGTTATTACTGAATGTACTGAAAACGGCAAACGGTGTGATAAACACACCCACACACAGGTCGGCCAGCGTCAGTGAACAGAAGTATATCTTGTTCATGTTCCTGAATGACTCTGTCCATGCCACGACCAATAAAATCAAGGTATTCGTGGTCACTATGGCAATGGTATAGATAATAGTGATGACACTTTCTGCGTAGTACTCCATCATTGACAGGGATACTTCTGCCTGGGGTAGGTCCTCTCAGATATCACTGATCTATGTCTGGTTCACCGGTTTCATCCTGAAGATCACATCACAGCAGTAGAACAGCTGTTCCTGGTTATGTAACCTTGATCAAGACATCCCCATGAGAGCAATATCCACTTTTCAAATTTAATCCCACACAAAACTTTGAGCATGTGATTAAAAACTAACAGAATCCTCCTTTACGGAAGCAGCTTGGAATTTCCAATACACATGTTTAATAACACTCCCATCACAGCCTACTACATGGAGGCTGGATTCAAACACATAGGCTTCAGGCCAAAATGTACAAATCACTGTGCTCCCTTTGATATTCCAAATGAAAATCTCATAATGATCCAAAAAATACCAATGGACTTGATTTATACGAAATACAAAGGTCCCATCAGATTGATTTCTCCAGTGGAAGATTATACCCCAAGGTATTTATCAGTATCAGATTCCATATTATGATTCCAGGTGGATCTGGTCAGGTATACTCCAGGTGTGATATAACACCTGCTGTACATTTGTACAGGTAACACTGGTGATGTACTATAACAAGGAGCCTGACATCTCCTAGGTTACCGTTGGTCGTCCTGTAAGACAGGTAGGTGTGTACTCACTGAAACACCTTTTAATCGTGGGGCAGACCTAGTGGGCCTGCTATTGATTGGGTTTGATCCCCAGTGTGCTGAGGATGACAGTGATCTCCATCTCATATCAACATACACAACATACCAACAATCCACATAATCACTGTAGTCTCACTGGCTCATACAGATAACACTGCTACATTTTGTTCTCATTCCTTCCAGTGGCAATTAATTAATTCACCATTTGTTTGACAATACACATGTGCATACAGGATTCTTTGTTATTCTGGAATCAATCGGCAGGTTACGTCTCCGAGTCACCACAGGTATCAGTACTGATACCACGTAACTACCATCAGATAAATCTCTATAGAACACACAAGTCACTCTGGGTAACACCCCAGTCAAAAGTCACTCTGAGTCACAAGTCACTCTGGGTCACTCCACAGACACAAGTCACTCAGAGTCAGAGGTCACTCTGGGTCACACCACAGACACAAGTCACTCTGAGTCACACCACAGACACAAGTCACTCTGGGTCACATCACAGTCACAGGTCACTCTGGGTCACATCACAGACACAAGTCACTCTGAGTCGCAAGTCACTCTGGGTCACACCACAGATACAAGTCACTCTGGGTCTCACCAAAGTCACAAGTCACTCTGGGTCACACCACAGTCACAAGTCACTCTGAGTCACACCACAGTCACTAGTCACTCTGAGTCACATGTCAATCTGGGTCACACCACAGTCACTAGTCACTCTTGGTCACACCAGAGTGATATTAGTCACCTCTGTTTCAGACTCAATAGTAATGTCCAATTTAGCATTTCCAAAGACAGAATAATAAAGCAATATGGTTTTCCTCTCTGTGTTTGTGGTCCTCAATATTAGGGTCGGCACAGGTGTCTGTGAAAAAACAGAAGTAACAAAGCCAATCAGAGTTACACCATTCCCAGTATCAATACAAACACTTCAAAATGAAGTCTGACAAACTTGATTTTCAAAGTTACATTAAATAACTTCAATAATTTTTATATCTAAACAATAAATTAAATCTATAATGATCTTTAATGAGTTATTTACAGCAAAGCCTCGAAATAATAGCATCAATGTCCTTTATTTTAACATGATAATACACAGACTTGTTAACATATGTTTAAACAATGAAATATAAACTATCAATACTATCAATATAAGTAGTATAAAATACCTGTGTCTGTAAGAGGCTATGAAGTCGGGTGTTTCTCCGTCGACCTCACCACCACACAATAGAGGGTGATCACACAGCAGTTATCCCTACCGGCTAAAGACACTCAATTTCAGTGCTGTGTTTGATACAGCGACAGAGGCAAAGAATCTGCAACCCCGACACAAGAAATGTCTCCAAGCTCTCTACGATACAGTGGTGGTGTCCCCTTGGAGTTGTCAAGGCTATTTATTATCCACCTCCTTTAAAACAATTATCCATGGCACCACACGAAACTGTCTTGTACACTTCCTTCTCACAAGTATGGCTCTTTATTTTCTACCATCTTCATAAGAATAGATTTAGATATAACTGCAGAAGCCTCCAATTTGCCTTCAGATATACTGATTATGTCAAAAGCTATATCCAATGGAACGATGCTTGAAGCACAAAGCCTACTTCCTACAAATTGTAGTTCATCACAATATTCAATTATAAGCAGAAATATTGAGCAGTGTAGCCCTGGGGCAGGAATAACAATGACACACACACACATACATGGAGTCCTGACACACCCAGCTCTAATAATCCATTTCAGACAAACAATGGTACAACCTGGCCAGCCAATCACTCCCAGGCCTTACTGCACACTCTGGTGTTGAGGCTTTGTTAAACAGGTGTGGAGTAGGAGGAGGAACTGGTATCAAATGAATCTGACCTGGACTGGTCTTAGAACATACAGTTAATTAAGTAGGTCGGATAATGAACTACGGAGGCACAATGTAGACACCTATAGGTCGGATAGTGTCAGAGACTTGCTGTAATTATTACCAGTGATCCTTCGTCAGAGACTTGCTGTAATTATCACCAGTGATCCTTCGTCAGAGACTTGCGGTAACTATTACCATTGATCCTTCATCATAGACTTGCTGTAACCATGAACAGATATCCTTTGTCACAGACTTGCTGTAATTATTACCAGTGATCCTTCTTCAGAGACTTGCTGTAACTATTTCCATTGATCTTTCATCATAGACTTGCTGTTACTATGAACAGATATCCTTTGTCACAGACTTGCTGTAATTATTACCAGTGATCCTTCTTCAGAGACTTGCTGTAACTATTAACAGATATCCTTTGTCAGAGACTTGCTATAATTATTACCAGTGATCCTTCGTCGGAGACTTGCTGTAATTATTACCAGTGATCCTTCGGCAGGGACTTGCTGTAATTATTACCAGTGATCGTTTGTCAGAGACTTGCTGTAACTATTACCATTGATCCTTCGTCATAGACTTGCTGTAACTATGAACAGATATCCTTTGTCAGAGACTTACTGTAATTATTACCAGTGATCCTTTGTAAGAGACTTGCTGTAATTATTACCAGTGATCCTTTGTCAGAGACTTGTTGTAATTATTACCAGTGATCCTTCGTCAGAGACTTGCTGTAATTATTACCAGTGATCCTTTGTCGGAGACTGCTGTATCTTTGAAATGACTGGTATTCCTACATTGCCATGCAGTTATGTAGTTCTCATGTAAGTAATAAATCGTGTTGGTATTGATTTAGGCTGCCTATTGGTACTCAATACTCGATACATCAGCAGTAATCTCGGCCGTAATACCTATCGTATAAATCCTTGCCAGCCTCATTTAACAACGTCTGGCTCTGCATTGGCACAACAACACATCTTCAGTCAGCTCAAATATTCCCTCACAATGTCTACTGACATGGAAACAATTTATTCCATAATAAATTCTCTGCAGAATTCTGTTTTCTTCAAATGTATATCATATAGATGTTGAATGGGAACTGTTTGTTCTTTTTTTTTTATCTCAAACAGTTTGTTGTCAGCTGAACTTGTTTCAATGATGCGGTTTCTATGGAAACAATCTCAACTTTCCAGTAATCCAGTAAGAAATATTATATATGTAGGCATTTATTCCATATCAAGTGTCATACACAACCTGTTCAAATATCAATCACGTCCTTATCTCGGTAGCTAAGTCAGACCTGGGACAATAATCCTGTGATTGCAGCACCATGACTGGTGTGCTCCCTGCCTATCACAACCCTATAAACTGTTGCTTGCCTATCAGAGACCACTATCCTTATTCCCGGCTGGCTACAGTGACATAGAGAGGGTTCTGCTGATTTATGGTAGCAGGCAGTCACCCGACTCATTGGTCAGTGTTTGGGAATTACCAGAGACATGGTACAGCTGCCAGGATTAGGGTATTGAACAAGTATGGGATGATGTTATCTATCAATACACTGTCACTCCAGAGACACATTAGGATGCTGAATATCCTTATTCTCCCATAGTTATTAATCCATATCACCAAAATCTTTGAAGCTGTAATTTCTGTGTTTGCCAGACAATTGATCTTTGTTGACCCATTTCTAATTCATTTCACAATGACATAAATGGAAACCTGCGTTGTTGTCTGTTGTACAGGGACTGTTGGAGACCTGTGCTGTTGTCTAGCTGTTGTACAGAGCCTGTTGGAATGCTGTGATGCAGTGCCACTTTCACATTCTACAACAATCTTGTCAGCAGGAGTTTACACAATGATGATGTGATTTACATAACAAAAAGCCTCTCCCAGGGTCAGAACCAATTACAGCTGGTTTTGGCCAAACTGAAAAATGCTTCCTTGGTCACTAGTGGCAAGTACTTCCGAAGGGTAACATCAGTAGCAGGAGTGACTGGTGGTGTAACATCAGTCCTGGAAAACAGAGAATACAAGGTCAATAAAAAAGGACGAAGGAAATCTGGGTCACCTACAATTAGCCATTATATACTGGGTCTAGTTGTGTAAATGAAGCAAAACGCCTCAAAAGACGCAGCAAGGACACCACAGCTTGGAGAGAAATCGAGGACACCCTAATTCATCTCAACCTAGTCTGATATAGCTCTATCATGCTAGCATATTCACCTCACTCGTTCACATCCATTGTGTTAAGTTCTGAGACATTAACACTGCAGTTATGGCACTCAAAAAACCATTGTTACCTCCATCACTGCCACCATCAAACCAGGGGAAGGGCAGTTGTTGTAATTGATTGTGACTGAGGCTCTGCTACAGTACACTCATACTTATCTGGTGCATATTATGTAACTGGTTATCAGTGCACAGGTATAAATGGCATACAGATGTATTGTGACAGTAAGATGTAGGATTGTATCTATCTCATAAAACTTCCAAATATCATTATTGATCAATCAAAATGCTAACTCTATCATTTACAAAGTAGAGAATATTATATCAATGCAGTTCAGATTTATTTGAAGCGAGAACATAATTAGAAGTGTTTACATCTATTTTACCTTAAATGTTATACTGAAACATTCCACCATGTTTCCTGATCAAATATCTCCTATTACCTCAGTGTACAGATAATGTTAAATGGGACAAATAACATCATACAAATGTCATAATGTGCATTTTGTAATATACTAATTTTCCAGAGTTTTAATCAGAAGAACACTCAACAGATTCAACTTATAACTTATAACAAGAGGCCTAATGGGCCTGCATCGTTTCAGTACAGGTGTGAATGTCATGTGTTAGGATAGGTGTGAATGTCAGGTATCAGTACAGGTGTGATGTAATTGCTAAGGGAAGTGATGACATTATTCTGTACCATATCTGTTTCTACTACTCATAATTGGGTTGTCAATCTAACTTTACTCCAAAATAGAATGAAACATCACTTCTAACAAATGAACCAAGGATTTAACACACATAAAAAAGAGTTGACATTTAAAATTACAAGGTTAAAACAGAAACAATTCCTAAAACATTGCATAAAATTCATTTTGTCATGCAATCAGCATCACTTGCAAATCAGCATCCCTACACTAGAGTGTTAATGAGGCCTGATGAACAGTGATGAAGTTATGAAGGAGTGACACCTGTGAGAGCCAGGCTAGATCATTAGAGCTTCTCAACAGTTCACATGTTACACCTGAAAGCAACACCATGAAATTGATCAGATATCAGCTTGTTAGATGCCACTTCCATTCTAAGGGTTTGTGTAGTATGTTTAGGTCAACAACAGTTCTGACCGATATTAAAAATACATACATGAATCCTGACTGTGATACCATGGAAACACATGAATCTTAACTATGATACCATGGAGACACATGAATCCTAACTATGATACCAGGAAAATACATGGATCCTGACTATGATACCATGGAGACACATGAATCTTGACTGTGATATAATGGAGACACATGAATCTTGACTGTGATACCATGGAGACATATGGATCCTGACTGTGATATAATGGAGACATATGGATCCTGACTGTGATATCCTGGAGACACGTGAATCCTAACTATGATATCATGGATTCACATCAATCCAAACTGTGATACCATGGAGACATCTGAATCCTTACTGTGATACCATGGAGACACATGATTCCTAACTATGATACCATGGAGACACATG